TTCAGGATAGCCGGTTCTGGACAGGCTCTCGAATAGGGGTCTACCGCTCTTTACAGGAAGCAACATTTGCTGCTAGAGGCAAAGATTTAAACCGCAGAGCGACCAAGGAAGAAACAATTCCTTAGCTCATTTTGAAGTACTTTGATCTCAGTTTAGTTAGAAAACCAGCTTTACAGAATCTTGCGTCTCAGTTCGTATGTCTTTGATGTTTTAATGTACCTTTTTCCTGTTCATTATTCAATATGAACTGGTATTGATACTGACCGGGCTTTATTGTGTATTTAACTTAGTATGCCTTTAAGACCGTGTTAATTAATGTACCATCAAGAAAGGGCTTTAGGGAACTGTAGTGGCCGTGACTTGAGACTCACGAATCTTCCTTGATTTGAACATCCGGACATTATTATGATTATCATATCAACGCCAATAAGATGGGTTGAACGCGTACAGCACGCAGGGTGACATGAGAAACACCCACATAATTTTAGGTGGACAATCTCAAACTGACAACATGGGAGATCTAGGCGTCGATAAGAGGATTATATTAAAATGGATCTTAAAAGAAATGTGGTTTGAGGGTGTGAACTAGATTCAGCTAGTTCAAAATAGGGTCCATTGGCAAGCTGTCGTGAATTTAGAATTGGAAGTGAGATTTTGTGAGTTCGGGTACGTACTTGATTGGTTACGTTTTTTATGTAAGATTTGATGTTTTCACGGCGGTGAGTCTGAAGATTTCTGTCTTCGGGGTTGTTGCGCTGTGTAGTCTGGTAGATGTTTACCAACGTTTCAAAGGTCATACTGCCTCCGTCATCAGGGCGTTGGTTAACATCGACCAGACTACACGGCGCAACAACCCAGAAGACAGAAATCTACATTTTATATCCTGGCGAAGCAAACTTGCACATTATACAAAGGATTCACTACCCCACGAAACTTTATTTTCAGCCGAGTAATAACACAGACAATCATTGCACAACAATGAGCTTCACGGCCTCTATTCGTCACCTGATATCGTCAGGGTGATTAAATCGAGGATGATGAGGTGGGCGGGGCATACGGAACGCATGGGGGAGGGGAGGGATGTTTACAAGTTGTTTGGTTGACCTGAGGGGAGGAGACCGCTGTTAAGACCTAGGCGGAGGAGGGAGGATAATGGTAAGATAGGGAGATAGGATCCGATGGCGCGAACTGGATGCTTCTAGCTCAGGTGGCGCGCGGGCTTTTGTGAACACGATGACGAACCTTTTGGGTTCCATAAGGAAAGTGGGCTATTCTTTGAGTACAAAATCGACTTTTCAGAGAATTTCCTGCACCATAGGGCGAATATCACAGTCTGTCACGTTTTCCCCAGGTTCCCTGATGTATTTTAATTTTCCTTATCTTGAAATAAATATTCACAGAATAGGCCTTTAAACTGGCTGTTCGGGTAGATACAAATTAAGATATTTATCAGTTTTTATGCCTCATATGTGATACCAAGACGAACTTCATAAGATATAAACAGTTTTTATTAACTATTTTAAGTCATTGAATGTAAAGTTTTTATTAAATTCACACAAATCTTTATACACACCTGTCTGCTTGTAATTAAACATCATCTTATTTTTTTCATCTGAAGCCAGGCGTGGTAAATATTGTTCGCTTTTCGTTATGAAGACGTTAAGTGATTATAATATACCATTGTTGATATTTTGCGCCGTGTGCGGTAATAATACGCTGTGTATTTTCGTTTTCATGGATATTATGTGTTCTGTTGTAATAATGATGATTAAGCATTGAGAATTCCCTTTTGTACTCTACTTTTTATAATTTCAATAACAGCGCTGTGCTTTAATCAACAGATTGAAAGGGCTGTACATTGTGGTGTCGTAATATGTGTTTATTTATGGTTCAGACGAACAGTGTTATGTGGCTACCGACTGTCTGAGGAAATGGCTTGCGAGAGAAGAATCATCCTTTCATCCCAATGGCTCATGGTTGTCACGTACAAATTCCTGCAACTTCAAAATAATTGTTGTTTTGCTTTTTTTATAACGTAGCTTGAAGTTAATGCACGTACGCGTGTAGCTGTGTTTTTTTACTGCGAATTCTAATAATAGCTCTTCTTCGTGCTTGTTTTTACATACATAGTAGTGGAAAATGACAAAAAGTGCATGAACGGCTAAATAGTTTAGTGACTAAGAGGTGTATTTAAAAGCTGCTTTATAACGCACGTGATAGAAATGGTCCTTCATGCTTTTAAGAGCGCAACCACCAGTGATGCCGTCATGCAGATTTCTGAATTGTCTTTCTCAAAAATCACTTAGTAAGCCAAATTTCGAAAGTATTATTCATCTCTGATGAGATCACTACGCTTCTGGAAAAAAGCGTACTTTCTTTTGTCCTGTGAGTTACTCGCTTAACGGAAGACGATAATTTCAAATTGTATTATTTAATTATTTCAGAAGCGACTTTTGATTAGTTCTATTTTATAGCTAAATGTTTAGTAAATTTTAACGAGTATGACCGAACTTTGCAACCTAGTGTTTACCGTTCTTAATTTATATTCGGAAGGTCTCGTATTCAAATGTCTGCCCGGAGAGAGGCTGTCCTTAGGATTTTTGTGATATTTCTCAGGCCCTTCAGGCAAATGCCCGGATAGAACCTTTAATTACTCCACGACCGCTTCCTTCCTTATCCTTTCTAAGTCATTATTAATTAATTATCCTATCATCCAACGCCTGAGTTACATAAAACAAAATAACTTTCTGTTGTGAGCGGCGTAATTGTATTCTTGCTTAATTTTCAGTTTTGGAGTAGGTTGTTCCTTAATATATGTGTTAAGTTAGACAGAGGGTCTGGGTACTCGGTTGCCGTTTAGTGGCAGGGACGTATCCAAAGGGCCCGTAAGCCAGTGTGGTACAACTGGCAGCCCGCGGACCACAACCTGCCCGAGGTCACTTGTAACCAGTAACGAAGCACACGGTTATCTCGTTTTGGTATATCGTTTGCTGTTTTACGTACAAGGGCCACACACTGAATTAAAACCCATTCCGTAAAATGTTTTGCAGTTATGAATTATGTCACATACAAGCTGTTGCAGGAGCGCATTTAAAATAATGTGTATCTTTACAGTAATTTGTGTAATACATTTCAGTAATATTTATATCTGAGATTATAGTATAGTAATTTGTCATTTTTTATTAACTAAATGATAATGAAAGTTGGCTGTTGGTTTTCAGAATAGTGCCTGGAGAGGGTTATTGGCCTTTGGGTCTAACGGGAAAACAAATTTTTGGCCGGAGGGAAGAAAAATGTTGGACTACCCTGGTCTAAGCTATAACAAATAGCTTTATTTAAAAGGTCTCGCGTGGTAGGTGTACGATGTCCTTCTGTCTGTAGACGGAAACGTGCTATTTTAAACGCGGCAGGCATTGGGCAGCGTCGAAAGATGATCTCCCATAATTTAATATTTAGAGAAATAATGAATTGCTAGTAATTAATCCTGTGATAACACAAGAACTAATGGTTTCTGCAGAAATGATTCAAATTGATAAGATACTTAGCAGTAAGGGTACAAATAAGTACCAGAGTGTGTTTTTTATTTTATTTGTTATTTCCACGATCTTGCATTGCTGTGAATCTTTAAACAAAACAGAAAAATATCCGTCTGTTACGAAGTTTTAGTGAATCGAACTACAACAAAGCACAAATTACCATGTCTTCGAACTTATTTTCTCGGAAATCTATTTGAAGTACTTGCCAGAGGCTTTACTAAATTCGTTCGGAGGAGAGTATCTAAAGTCTATTACATAACTGAACCAACCGTTACTTAAACAGGAAGCTTCTACTTCAGTTTTAACTGCCAGGAGCGATTTACCCTTTGTTTCTTCTCTTTACCTGTCTTGTATGATTTTCGTTTTATCCAATATTGGTACCGGATGTAATGTTTTGTACCACAGAATGCCATAGAGATGTTTCTAGGCTTGGGGCGTTCGTTTAATAAAACGCTAATGAAGCAGACAGTTGGAATTGAATACCCAGTAATACGTAATCATGCGATACTCATATAAATAAAGACGAACATTCCGGAGATAAACTGTAATTTGCCCATCTATAAACAACAAATATGATCATTTGCATTTTTGAAGTTGTAGTCATGAAATTAGGACAAGTACGTTGTTAATATTTTTATCAGCTTTCTTAAATATGTTTCTGTTTACAATGTAAATTGCAAATGAATAGGTCCATGAACACTTTGAGCTGTGGAGACGGGACTTGTCCATGTTACCTGGATTTCCTATAACTAAACAAACTGATCGTCTTCAGGGAGCAGACGTTGCGTTAGTTAGTGGTTTGATGTTTGGCAGAACTACTTGTTAAATGTGACTTGCTGTTTGCTGGGGAAGAATACGTGACTCTAAGTCACACTGAATTTGTCTCGCATAACTGCATTCCGTGACGTGTGTCAAATTTAGTATTACTCCGAAACAAATTGAATAGTTTACTTACTACATTTTCTGTGCTTAAAACCTGTCTCTTTTCGGCCTCGTAGGACTACCTTCAATACCACAATATACTCCATAATTTATGTAATGCCACTCGTAATTACACTGAAAATGTCCCAGAGATCGTTCAGTATGTAATATACGAGGAATTACGTACAAGTCACGTGCATACTTAATATGAGCCTGTATGAACATTGTGGGATACGTTCACAGCGAGGGGCCGCACTCAAAATTACTTATTCGCGGCTGTCATCCAAAAGAAGCCAATATGGTGTCGCTCCGTGGGCAATGATTGTTGATGTCTGCTCCATTCATCATCAACAGAGCATGCAGTTTGATTTACATACTCAGAACATTTCCTTCTCAGGCGTTTTTGACGTGGGCACTTCGCCGATCTCTGGGTCACTGCTTCTGTTACATTGCACATGTGCCTGTTCTCGAAAGTAGGAATTCGAGGCTTTCTCTGACAATATCCGTTTGTAATGTGTGGTTTGCATTTCAATCTGCTCTTACCTGCATGGGAATTCACGTTCGCCAAGACACAGCTCAAGACAGTCTTGACGAGAAGCAGTTACGTGTTGCTTTCTGGAGAAGCCGGACAGCTGGTAGCCTTGCACTCGGTCAAAACACCACGCCTTCTCGCATGGCTTCACGCCAAGACACGTCTTCTGCGCGTAGATTGTGAAGACGGGGAACTGGGACTTGGTCAGCGCCCCTGCAACACACCACCCCAAGGCGTAATGGCGTGCTGATAAACTTGTTATTTTGTTATAAACAAATCCACTGCAGTTCATACAACGAACCCTATGTGTATCACATGCTGACATTTTGTCTATAGAATGTATCCTAGGAGGCTACGGGAGGTATAGGATGCTGGAAAATGGGTGTGTGGAGATTAAATGGTGTCAGGGGAAATACTGAGCAGGTGGTGTGTTCTATGTGGAATATAGAGGAAGAATTGAGTCACATATTGAGATGCGAAGGAACAATAAATTGGACATAGGAATTATAAGGATACTTACAAATAAAAATAATGACAACTGCATATAATTGGACTATATTTAAGCAAATATAAGGGGAAATGTGAAAGGTTAGTGAAGAATTATGAGAGGGATTAAGTCACATATTAGGGGATAACAAATATGAGAGATAGTGGTTTTGTTTTATGTAGAAGTGGAGAAAGAATGTAAATATACACAGAAGCTGGACAAAAGAGCAGGGAGTCATATTCGACGCTGTAAACTGTTACCAGCAGACTTAATAAATGCCAGTGCTAAGTCGTGTGAGTGTATTTATATGTTACTTATGATTCCAAGGATAAACAGCGAATTATTTACCTAACCAGCTGTAACCAACTAATCGTTGCATTTGGGAAGGGTTGTGTTGATGTAAGAATCGAATTTTTAAATATTACTTAACATTTACTTGGACTTCAAAGAGTTAATGTGCTTCTGATCGAACGACACCCATTTTAACGTAATTTATGCCGCCTACTGTTATAAGCGCATAACTAGTCTCCATTTTTAAATACCTAAAACGTTTAGTAATTTTTTTAAAAATTCTGTGCAGCAATATTAATTCCACGCGGCTGCTTCCACTATTACAATAATTTTAAGGTGCTCGTTAATTATGCAATCACTCTGTGCTTATATGTGAGTATTTTTATAATCGGCTGTCTGAGTCTGAATGTACTGATTTATTTTCGTCGTGAATATAATTCCGATTTGTACTGCCGTTTCTATATTCATAGGCTTAAGTTCTTCGGCTACCTAAAACTCTGCTGTTGGTATCAAAACCCTCAGTTTCAATTTTAATGTAATAAGCTCCGGTCCCTTGCGATAATAGTAGCAGAGTTTTTATTCGAGGACTGTGATCGTGGCAGTGATTGAGTAGATGCGTTTTGTGGTACGTAACATCGTTCCCACGAGGAGTTCGCTCGCACCTAGCATCAGCAGTGGCATCGTGCCACAACACGCGTGATTCGTGTTGGGGCCAAACCGGAAATTGGTTACTTTATGACGGAATGCACCACGATATTGTTCCCCACTTTATATTCATGTGTCGTGGGACAATAGCATCAATTCACATACGTAACTCAGTGTAATATTGTGTGTGAAGGTGTTTATATTTAAATTACATTGACTGCGCACGCTGGAGTAGCAGGCTGTAGAATTTAATGTGGGAGGTATCAGTTTAATCTCGACTCAGTTATCGGTTGTTCTCACCAGGATTTTTCTCAGTTCAGGCGAATGCTAAGATTATACTTCAAAGTAGTTAACGTCCACCTCTCCATAATGAATGATATCTCATTTCGGAAAATGGCGTCGTTACATAACGTAAGAATTACTGCGTTAAAGTTTATCAGTATTTATTTATTTTTTGTTTATTTGGAGATGCTGTCTGACGTTTTGGCATCGGATGGTAACACGATTAATTGATAATGTTTTGGAAGGAAGCGATTGTGGCCTAATTCAGTGTACAATGCCGGAATTTGTTGGAGGGACTGAAGAAAACCGCGAACACCTCAGTATTGCCTGTCTTTGGGCCGAGATTTTAACCCGAGACCTCAAGAATACGAAGCAGGAGAGCTAACCGTTATGGCGTTGTTTTTTTCCCTCCATCATTGTGTGTGTGCGTGCACTGATTCAGCTCTTGGCCTGATATCGAAATCAGGATGTGTGCTGATGTTATAACTGTTTGCTTCAAAATTGCGTTTATTCTATCGAGGAAAAAAGGAGAAATTAGAGATTTTAGGTTCTCACTGCGTGAAGATATCGATATTCTTCTGAGTTGTAACGTCATGTGGATTTCACAGATGGTAGATACTATCGTTTTTGAGTTATATAAACAGCAGAAAACGTATTATATCCAGTGGTGCAATGCCAGAAGAATGAATTTTGCTGTTTTAGTATTAACGTAAGACATGACAATATAAATAATTTCTGTAAGATTCTTGAACTAAATGTAATTCCGCTACTGATGAGATACAAATTTCAGTGTCTCAAACTTCAGTTGGTTTCTAAGTAGGCCTGATTCCATTTCGTACAGTTGAATGAAACACTGCGACTGGGCGTGTTTTAAAAATACTTTCCTTTTCAGTTCGACTGTCTTTTAAATTAGAAGTTAACAACAAGTTACAAATAGTTTTACTTCTAATTGACGTACCGATAGCACATTCCAGCTGTCTGTGTTCTGCGTGATATTTCCAGAAAATCGAACACAGATAAAAGTTTAATTAAAGCATTTTGTAGACATTCATTCCACAGCAGTACGACGTAACTATTTATCCAATGCATAGTGGCAGTATTCCTGATTCCTAAGGTGGGTTTGTGGTGGCTTGGATAAGAAAATGCCGACTTTGAGATTCGGGTTAATTTTGGTAGTTAACTCTTTGAACCAGAAGCTTCTCAAAATAAGAATTTAGCCCATACGTCATAGAAAACACTTCTCCATTTAAATATTCGGGTGGTTAATGCTGTTTAAAGATATAATCCCGGTTTACATTTAGAATCGTACAAAAACTAATAAATACAAAATGTACATTTAATGATTTTTAAAGAAGTTGGTACATATTGTTCGCACTCGGACTGGTAAGTGATATTAACATGATTTTATGGGATGAAAACACCTACAAATACATTAAAATCTCGTGATCCGCAGTATGGATTCATAAAGCAGAAGTTTGTTTATCTTAGTGGTCATTTTCCCACATTTATTTCCTTTGCAGAAACTTGTAGGATCTATCTTTTCCTCATACATACAGTCATATATCGCGTCACAACGCATGAAATTTGTAACAAGTGCTGTACTGTTATTTGTGCTGTATTTTTAAATTTCTAACAGAAAAGTTATGTTAGTTAGTTTTTGCTGAAGTATAAAGAATTGTATTTAAGGAAAAAGCCAACAGATTCACAAGAACGCCCAACTACACGCGAGACAAGTTTCATACCTAACGTTACATCCAAAAGCCTATAAAAACATTTTTTTACGTATGCAGTTTATTAATATTATATATTTCTTCCCACAGAAGCAAATCCATATCGTTTTTAAAGCCCACAAATTAAAGCTACCATTCTTTACTTGCATGCTAAAGACCTCTCCACGTTATCACCATCCCCACCATAAAATCCGTGTACTTCATTTAAGAATATTCTTGGTATCATACATCATATTAATGGTTTTATCTTCCTCCCACTTTGTTATAATGTATACTGCACTTGCTAAAGCTTCTCTGTTGCTTGTACTTCATGATTCACATCGGAGGAATTAGCAACAAGAAGCAGACGATACGCGATAGATATTACATGCATTACAATGTTAAATCATCACACACGAACTCTAGCGATATCGCTTTTAAAATTGTCGCTTAGTCACTAGCGATACTTGTGGAAATAAACTTTTCAGCTGTATCGCCGAGCGATTTGTATCTCATGTCGCCATGGAGAGACAGTGTTTGGATTGGCCTGTTGCATCATCCAATAAGCCATCTTGCATGTAGCTCATCGTAGTAGACAGTAACAAGAATCCTGAAGAACAACTGAGCATGAAGTTTGTTAAAATTATAGAAAACGTGGTGTGGAGTGATCACGACATTCACTGACTAGCAAACTTGATATGATATCGCCTTTCGCTTGTTGCTAGTTGCTTAGGTGTTAATCATGCCCCCCAATGCGTTTTATATCGCTGTATTGTACGAGTATAATGCAAACATGGTGATGTTTGTGTAAATTGATTTAGTCTATGAGGAAGTTGATTCTCGCCACCGCATCTTGGACACTTATTGTGATTGATCATCCAGAGCAGGGAAAAAATGGAAAGTTATTGGTAGGTGAAACGCGGTCCTTCTCGGTCAAAACACCTACATCCGTTAGGTTATGTTTTTATGTATGCGCGTGATTGGGTGCTCGTTCGTCCTGTCATGTTGTTGCCAAGTGAAGTCGTTACATCGGTCATTGGTGCTGTTGTAGACATGGCGATATATCTTCCAGTTTTTAATAAAATTTGTGAAATTAACTTGCAATTTAGCAGACCAGTAATTTTGTTGATTCAAAGCAGAAAACAACATGTTTATTTAGACGGTTTTTTTTTGGATACGTCAGGTTTATTTAAAGAAATCGTATTTGCTTACCACACTAAAAACAAATAAGCAGTAGGATAGGACATTTTAACATTTGTATATGAATTACCGAAAAGAAAATTTAAATAGTTAAGAAGTATGTTTTCCTGTTACTAAACACATTGGACAGTTCATAGCTGTACCATATACAGGGTGATTCAAAAGGTAAGGGCCAAACTGAAGGAGCATATAGAGGAACTCAGAGAGAACAACTATTGAATAGGAATCCATGTCCTCCGAAGTTATCCTGAGTCAGTCGAGGCCATTAAAGATAGGGATGTCTGTTGATCGTACTTTGCTATTCTCCTACTAGCTTAATTTTGTTTTTTTATTAATATACAAGGATTACATTAGCAATCTTACAAACCAAATTATTTCAGCGTTATGTTATCAGACTTCCCTAACTTCTACGGCCTCGACTGACTCAGGATAACTTCGGAGGACACGGGTTCCTATTCGAAAGTTGTTCTCTCTGAGTCCCTCTATACACTCCTTCAGTTTGGGCCTAACCTTTTGAATCACCCTGTATAATTAATTCCATGAACCAGAGTCTTTCTTTAGAAGCTAATAATATCTGGTCAACCTAATTCCCCGTCTTT